AGGATCTTGCGTTAGAACTTGGCGACTAAACTGCAGAATCGGTAAATTTGAGTGTGAAATCGTACAAGGCGACGCCTGGTTTTAAAGGAGCATTGCTTACTGCGTGTGCTTGATAACTGGTCGCTGAGATTACTCAGATAGCAAGGTCTTTCCAGTATTAAAATCTTTCTTTAGATAGTTACTTGCTGCTCGTGACTTAATTGTTGAAACAACACCATTAAGCTTCACCCATCGCATAAATGGCTTGCCGTCAAAACAATCCAAAACGTGCGAATCTTTTTCCTTAATCATAGCGATTGTGCAGTTGATTCTTTAAAATTAATTCGTTTATGTCTCAACTTCGAACTAATGTCTAGATGTCTGTAAAAATTCTAAATGGTAAACACTCCACTTTTAAAATGTTTATCCTATTAATCACTTCGCATACTTAATGAGTATTCAGTGATTCGATGCCCTAATTCTTATTTCCTCTTGGAGTCCAGCGAGTATTCCGCACCTTCCTCAATTACAACGGTTTATTTTTACATTGCGCAAAACGATTCGTCCGTCAGATAAAAGAGACCTGTCGCCGCGCCTGAGAAATCAGTTATTTCGTGTTTAGAAAAGCTGTGTATATGTTGTACTAACCGCCAGTGCATGAATAATAAACGTCATTTTCTTAACTTCGAGGTCTTATTTTTTATTTAACAATTAATTATCTATGTTCCTCTGCCGTATTTTTATAGCCACTGTTAAAGGTTTAATCAGCAAATATTTTAGGTATGCAAACTGCCAAGACTCAGTCTAAACGGAGTCAGGTTCAAGCGGATTTCAGGATCTTCGATTGGCTTTAAAAACATTGCTTCAAAAATAGCCCAGGAACTGAACTTGTGAATCGATGATATAGCGATCACCGATACCGAGCGAGGAAATCAACGAACCCGTGACTTGACTCCCATGATGTGATGTAAAATACGATACGCTAGAACGAACTAAATCGTCGTACGGTACTGAACATTATGCTGCTGCCCTCTGTGATCATGGTGATGATGAACGCTGTAAAAATTGGCGGGTACTTTTGCTCACCTGAGAATTGTGCATCGGTCGGTCATTGTGGATTGTGGAACGACCGTCGTTGGAAGCATGCTTACAAGATGGGCGGCAGACCAGAATTACTGAATTTTGAGAGAAAACTACATTGCTCTGTTGTGTGGAGTGTTATTCGATCGATTATCATTACTTTATAAGGTATCAAGCAAGTTTATAACCGCTGCTTCGAGTTAGGTTGTTATTCGGGTAGATGCCGCCGAACGGACTTGATCATCGTACAACGGCAACAATATACAATGTGGACATTTTCCTGGCGAGACAGCGTCAGCGATCAACGCTGCCATGTTTGTTTTACACTACTTCGTTTTTATGGCTTTATTTAGTGTTCCAGCTTTTCTTTCGTATAGATAAATATTGAACTTTAATAAATAAAGCAGTTTATTATATATTCAAAAAGACAGAGTGCTTTGCATTTATTCACAATAAGCATTTTGTTCATCAGGATACGCAGAAGTTCATTGTTGTGTAAAATTCTCCATCAAGATTGCTCTACCTAAGAAAAATAATGTTTCTCTCTAAAACGCAGTATGACGGTCTGTCGATGCCGATACCCGCGATATTGTCAGTTATAATGTTAAAAAATTTACAAATATTCCCATTTAATCTTACCATTACGATCATAAGCAGATAGGCTTTTAAAAAACTTACAAAATTGTCGTGTAAGTTTCTCTATGTTCTCTCTACAGTAAAAGCGAATAATTTCTTATTAGCTGCTGGGTATTTCAAACACCTCAAAAAACACCCTTGACCCCTATCTTTGTAGAAGTCTCCATGGAACATTCTGAAAGGAAAGGGACGCCAACTGCAATCTGTTTCAAAACATGTAGACTACATGCATGCTAATCTTTTAAGAAGATTTTAATAGAGAATCATCCCCTGCATATCAGTTTCTTTGATATCGTTTTCCTTAAGAAAATCTTTATCAATTAAGTCATCCTTTCAGAAAATCCTTTTACTGCCTAGCATGTATATACATGCATAACTATGCCAGACATATAAAAGTTTTATAGACGTATTATACAATTAAAGTTACAATCAGCAATCGAAAAAAATAACCGGTAAATGTGCTCCATAAATCCACCCGCTATTCCTTGGCATCACCGATACCCTGTGGCAGAATCGCGAACATCGCTTCTGATTCTGGCAAACACGGCGAATCATAAATCTTGCAAATTCTCGTTTCGCCTCTACCCTTGCGTAAGTAAAGCCTACCGGAAACAGGTGCAGTGTAAAGTAACAATGCAAAGAACGTAATTCATCGATTCGTTCCTAACCTCGTAGTAGAAGCGTGAGCGAGAATATTGCCACCAATCGGTTTCTTCGGATCCACGTTAAACATCGCCACCGAGCCGTCTACCTGAGCCATGACTTGGTTTGTTATCAAAACCGCCACTCCGTACTATAAATTTTTAATTTCTCAGGTCAGATCATATGAGCGTTGATGATTGGTATAGAGATACACAGGTCACACGATTCAGACTAGGTCTGGAAATAGATAAGCGAATCTGGTAAACTGTCCATGCACCCAGTCTGAGATTTAACATTCACGCTGAATGAAGACGATAATCAGTTTCGTTCGAAAAATTGACA